AGGAGGAGGGGGGGGGGGGGGGGGGGGGGGGGGGGGGGGGGGGGGGGCGGGGGGGTGGGGGGGGGGGGGAAAGGACAGTGCCAGGCGAAATTAAATGCCCTATAATTGTCAGTCGATTGCGGTCGGAAGACGCAATCGATAAATGGAAAAAAAAGGAAAACGCTGCAGGATGTGGACTACCAAAAAGAAAGGATGGGGCACCAAGGGAGAGTTTCGCTTGAGTGAGAAGGAACAGGGGGGAAAGGGTGGGGTAAAAAGAGAGAAATTGTACTAAGATTTGTACTTTAGTGGCACTGAAAATAATATAATATAATATATAAATATACAATAAATAAATATATAATAAATAAATATATAATAAATAAATATATAATAAATAAATATATAATATACAAAATATAAAACCGACGAATTTCCGTACATAGAAGCTTTCTATGTAACAAATTTATTTTAGAAAAAATTAATTCTATATTACGAATTTTTGTTACCACAAATTCCCCTTCAGATTCGCTCTTTAGAAGTTCCACTGTAGTAACGCTCATAAATTTCTTTGTCAAGGTGGCTTTAGAAAGTGGCTTCAACCAGCGCCCTTATCTCATGCCCAGAACCCAAGGTGCTCCCAGGCAGGTGCTCCCAGAAATCCTTTCAGTTTTACACCAAAAAAAACCTCCTCCTTTAAGCACTCGAACACCCCCATCCTTCGACGAGCCCAACCCTTTCACAGCCAACCCTTTGCTGCCCCGATTTGCATCGTGTTGTTTTTTTTTCTCACTCTTAGTTGGCGTGCAAATCCCGACAATTATGCGGGTTTTAAAATGATTGCTAACCCAAAGCCAAAGCCTAACCCGGGGACCGCCCTCCGTCCTCCGCCCTCCGCCCTCAGTGGCACTCAGCCCTCTGGCTATTTGCGCAACTCTCCAGCATCTGGACGGGATGAGATGAATGTGTGTCTATATTAAATGGAATTGCCATGTACATTACAATTTTCACGGCTGAGCAGAGCGGACACACCTCAGCATCCAACCCGGCGACAGCTCCTCCTCGGCGGCATCGGAAGTGATCGCTCCAGGGCAACTGTAGCCGCGGCCTTGTCCGGCACAGCCCATAAATGCAATCAACCACTTCATATCATCCAAGAACAAAGCAGAACTCACTCTCTTTCGTCCCTGGAAGGGGAAGGGGGGGGAGGGGGAGGGGAGGTATTCCTGTGGTGTCTGTACATTTGCAACAGATTTTGTTTCAAGTGCAGGCGGCAGCGGACTCGGTCTCGAGGCACTTCAGCCACGGCCACGGCCACGGCTTCGGGGCAGCTCCGGTTTTAACCCTTTTTGCCTCCGCCTCCTCCTCCCTGCCACATTCTATGGGTAATTTATGCAAATTAAAGCGCACTCCATTTCGCGCCATCACATACGAGGACGCGAGTGCGACGTAGAGTACGAGAGTATATTCTAGCCTTTGATTTGTTGTTTGTTTTGCTGTTGTCCGGGGCGCAGGCGCATGTGGCATGCGGCATGCGGCATGCAGCTGACTACAGCTACAACAATTGTTAATTGTTTCGCTTTTTTTTTTGTCGGAAACGGAAATATTGAAAACATCGCAGAGAAACGTGCCAGGGGGCCCCAGCCGGGCCCAGCCCTTTGGCTATATAAATTGCCGTTAATTGACGGCTAGCTTTACAAAATGTCACAGACTGTACACAGAGTTCCAAGAGTAGAGCTAGCTGAGTCTCTGGCAGGGATCTTGGCTTAAGGAAAGCCCCTGTCACACCCCTGCAGCCCTCTATCACACATCCCTCTATCTACCATCTTTCCTGTCAAAATACGAGCACGAAAACCCACTCATAAGCGACAAATATGTTTTCTTATCGGTCCCCAGCATCGCCACTCTCCATTTCTGTTCATTTTCTGCCTCAAAATATTGTTTTGGGATTTGTCAAAATACACAGCAAGGATATATGGCAGATCCAGAGATACAGCGGCATGGAGCCTGTCGCTGGCCCTTGGACTTTGTTGATTTTTAATCTCCGATTTGGCGGCGACCACTTGAATGAAGTCCTAGAGGTCCTGGGTGCTGGGTCCTGGGTCAAAATGTTTCAATTTTGAGCAGAGATTTTAACGCGGATGCTGTCGGTCCTCGTGGACCATCAACCCTCGGCATCTAAATCTGCATGTTTGTTGTTTTTTAAAACGTTTTTAATACGAAAAACGTCACAAAAAATATCAAGAGCCAGGACTCTGACGAGAAACGGGTTCATTTGAATGACAAGGGGAGGATCTGCTCTGCCAAAGAGGCTGGGTGCCCGGGGAGTTTGATGAGCTTGTAATGCTCTCTCTCTGCGATGGGATGAGCTTCCAATGGGCTCGGGGTTTGGGTTTCAGTCGGGCTCTGGGTTGCAGCTGCTGTCCGAGGCGGAAATTGTTTTGTCTGTCTGAGGTTTATAGATCGCTCCACGGGGCGTGTCGGCTGCTCTTTTTTTTCCGCTCCTTTTCGTGGATAAGCTGACGTTTTCTAGTCGCAATTATGCATGCCACATTTAACAATTTCCGTGCCACAGAGAAACGTCGCAGCAGGTCATCAGGATGATTAAGTTGTAATTTGTGGCCCGGCTGTGGATCAATCCTTGTGTCGGTGGATCCTTGTCCCCCCGCCTCAAGTGCCGCCTTTAAGCGCCTTTTGTGCCCAGACACTCGACTGGGCCTCCCCCCACCCCGGTTTGCTTTTATCTTAATTACAAAAAAAAATGCTGGGCCGGAAGAAGCGGAGTAATTTGCAAGGCGGAAATGCGACAGTAGCGGGTGACCCCCACCCCCCGCACTTTCTAGGTTCCAGGTTCGTTAAATGAAATTGCAGCAGCGGCTTTACTGCAGGTGACTCTTGGCTGTGGGGCCTCTCTGTGTGTCCTGGGCGGTGGGGCCTCCACTCATGCTCTGGCACAAAAGGACAGTGGAGTGGAGGTGCTAAAAAGAAGGGGAGATATACTCAGAGGTTGCAAGGTACTACTGGAAGCTAGAGACTAGGCTTTAGTCAATGATTTCCTATCTATTCTCCACATTCATCAATCTCTTCCTTTCTAGATCTCCTCCTGATCCATTCCTCTTGAATGCCAAGCCACTGTTGGCACATCCTTTATGCAGGGATATCTTTAAAATTGTAATGTTCATTGCGGCTGAGCCCTGCTCCTGCCTGCCAGCCAGCTGGCAAGTGTAATTACACTAAACAGCCAACGGAATGATAATTATTATTGCATGTCCTTGGCCCGGACTCCTTTGGGGTTGTTGTTGTTTCGGGGCTAATTCTCGAAATGAAAACAGGGAAAACGGGAAAACATTCGGAGCATAATCAAAAATAAATACGCACTGAAGTACAAATGAGTAAGCACTTGGAAAAACAACAAAAACAACAACAACGAGCAACTCTTAACTAAACAAAGTTGCAATTTCTGTGTGCAACAAAAGAAAACAGAGGAAAAGTGTGGAAAGTGGGAAATGCTTGTCGTATGTGTGTGTGTGTGTGTGTGTGTGTGTGTGTGTGTGGAGGGAGCTAGAGCATGAAAAAATCGAAAATGCATCAGAAATTCAAATGCCACGAGCTCTCTCCCTGTCCCCCCTCCCTCTTCCTGTCCCCCTCCCTGGCTTATTTACCTACAATCCACTATTTGCCATGTCCTGGCTGGGAATGCAGGGTAGCCAGGAGTGTGAGGAGGGGTGATTGGGGGGGAAAATACTTTGTCCTGATTCTGCTACTGGTTCCGAGTCTGTTTACACGCCTCCGGCTGCCTTGAGCTGCTCTTGCGTGTTGCTTTCTGGTTAAGTGAACTGTTTTCTCGCTTTCCAAAGAGGGGAGGGGAGGGGGTGCTCTGTGTGGCGTTGGGCGTTCAATTAAGGCTCCAGTGCGTGCCCCAGCAAGCATTCCATATAATCCCTATCTCCAGTGATTGAAAAATTCCCAGAATTTCACTTGATTCTATTTTATAGAGTCTTATTTTCCCTGAGCCTGTGATTGTTTACTGGAAGAAGTAGTGCCAGGAAATAATATATAGGGGATATATATATTCCCTTAGTTCCAATCCCAGTATTCCTGGCCACTCGTTCCCAAGTCCTTAATTGGCTTGAAGCACAGCTCAATATTTTCCCCGAAATGTACTCGTAATTCCTCCATTCAATCTGCACTTAAGGGCTTCGCTTTCTGTGTAATTTTCATTCATCTTTGTGGCCAGCTTATCTCCAGCCATGCACACATGTAGCCGGGGTACAGTTGCGCTCCTTCCCCCCGTTCCATGCCGTTTCGTTCCATTCCGTTCCATTCTGGGAGTGAGTGTGGCTTTTGTCTATTCGCTCGATTGGCTGCATTTCAACACCTTCGGCACACGCCACCATATCGATTGCATCTGTGAGCTTTTGTGTGTGCCTAATCGACAGTTAAGTGGGGGGTTTGGAGCCCCACAACCCCTTCTTGTTTGCCCAACTGAGTGCCACAGAGATTTGTTCAACAAATTGCTTCACAGATGTGAATAAATCTCAATTTGCCAGAGGCATAAACGTGGGGATACTCTTAGCACAAAAATTGAATTAAAAGCCAAGAAATATCTCTAGAAAAGCATACAATCTAGGACATCCCATCTTCGGCTTGGGGTCTCCCATTTCCTGCATTGAAATTCGATTAGTTGGTCTTTATGGCTTGACCAATTGTGTTAATTTATTCAGGCGACATCTGTCCAACGAGAGAGATGCAAATGCAGCCTTGATTTATGTGTCTGTGTGGAGGATTCTATCCCGTTCGGATTCAGCTTCCTCTCTGGCGTATGCAAATGATAAATGATCCCCTCTCCTGCCCGGCCCTGGTAATCCCCTTAACCCTTTAGAATTTCATTTCATTCCATTCCATTCGAATTTCCGCAGCAACCCTTGACAGAATTTTCCAACATTTTCCGTTGCCAATCAATGACAAAGGCCCGAATACAATTTTTTTCCCTAGTTTTTTACACTTAATTTTTATTTGTTTTTCCAGCCAGCGATAACGCCAGAGAGGAGCACCCAATGGAATCGTAATCGTTTCGGCTCATTAAGTATGCAAATTATGCAAAAACCACTTGAATGTGTAAACATTGATCCCCGTTCCCAGTCCAGAGGCAGCTTCGAATGGCGACTGTACCTCTGACAGATACCCGCTATCTCCCCCCCCTCTCTTGCTATCTCTAATTACGCCTGGCACGTAAATCCTATTAAAGGCGGACACGCAACTTGACCAGAAACATCATCCAGTCATCCAGTCATCCGTCGCGAGAGATCCCTCGACCGACTACTGTTCTAATTCAATTTCCTAGCACTCGACATTCCTGCTGACCGCTGGTCACACGTCACTCAGAAACCAGTTAACCTTTCCAGGTAACCAGATATCCCGTGAGACCCACGCTTATCGCTGCTGCCCCCGGGACCATCTCCTGCGTGTCTCGCGTGTAATTGAGACAAATGTTCAGGGAATGACCAATATTGAACAGTTTTTTGATTGACATTATCGCGTGGGTGCTCCAGAATGGATCGCAGACAGTTGTCCGAAGGGATCGGGCAAACGCCCCCTCCCCCAGACCCTCCAACCCCTAACCTATCCCAACCCGGAATCGAAAGCGAACCGAAACGAAACGAACCCGAAAAACCTTTTGTTCTTAGGGCAAACCCCTTCCTTCTTTTATTTTCAATATGCATGCAATTTGGAAAATTTTGCATGCCTTTGGCTGCTGAAAATTATAATGAAATTATTAGGCCCGTTCCAACCCGATCCCGATGGCCCATTGTTGGCGTTTCTTCACACTTTTTGGCCGTGGAAAAATGTTTTGTCATAAATTTGCATCACACAAAGGGCAGGGGCAGGGGGCAGGGGCAGGCAGGGGGGGGGGTTGCAAAAATTATAGATTTTGATTCTTTTGATTTGTCAGAGCAGATCATAATTTTGGGTATTTTAGTGCGGGGCGGGGCGTGGCCTGAACAGCAGCTGGCACGGCAGCAGATATGCTTGATTATCAGCCGAATGGAAGGGGGAAGCTCCTCCAGAGATGCTCTACTAATTTCACTTTATCTTTGATCTGTTTCCAGACCTATCTGCAGAGCACTCAACAGTCCAATCTTATGCTAATTTAATGGACATGGAAATCCCTGCGGAGCGAGAGGTAAGCACTTCATTAACAAACTACTAAAAACTACAAAACCGAGACGCCGCTTAAGATATCGCATTACATAAACCCCTGGGCCCCCCCTCGAAAGGCCAGTCCCAGAAATGGGAAACGAAAACGGAGATGATGGAGCGGCGGTGGCGCGTGGGTGGCCTGGGTATTCCGTATTCCAATAAAATTTTTCAATTTAGTTCAAACTCTGTGTTGACAGTTTTTGGTGGCAGGTCCAGGTTTTTGACTTAGTTCCTCATTAATATTCCCGCCTCATTATGCCTGGCCTGCAGTGCCATATATAACCATTTCGAGCATTATAATCAAATTAAAAACACTCACCGAATGCAATCAAAACAGCATAAATAACATTTGGCCAGCCGCTGACTCGTTTACCGAGCCCCCCAAATAAGAGTTATGCGCTTATAATTTGGTCTTATAAAATGATGTACCCTACGCCGGGGCACCACGGGTTCGTTGAATCGCCTAGGATATTGGGGAAATTCTGTGCCAAGGCTGGGAGAGTTTTCAGCGCAGGCGCAGCCCCTTGATTGCCACACAGCCAAAGCCTTGAGGGGAGGCACTCAAATCTGCACAATTTATATAGTATCTTTAAAGCTTTAATTGTTTTTAATTGTGTTTCGGTATCTGCTTGGGGCGCTCATTACAGTATTTCTTGTATTCTCTTGATTTCGAAATGTATCTTAAATCGGTAATTACTAATCGCAAAGCGTAATAAAAGTGTGAATGAACGGAATGATGTAATGGAGATATGGAGAATGGAAGATGGAGATATTACCCAAATCGAGTGCAGGGGATCGTGTCTGCTGGCTAGCCCCATCCTCGTGGTTGGTGGTTTCCACTTCCTCCAAAGACACTCATTTTTTATATGACGCGTGCGACCAATTTGACGACGATGCTGGCGGAGTGCACGACGTGATGTCGGCGGCACAAGTCCGCTGCTCCGCGGACAGCGACAACATCATCGACCCACGCACAACAGGAAGCCTTTCGGCCATCCGAATCGACAGCGGCACGCATGCCCCCCTCCACTCCACTCCACTCTCCGAGCCCCTCTGTAGGCAAATCTCATGTGGCCCCACGATCCCCTTCGTCTGTGGCTCTGCTCCGCTCCGACTCTTTCTCAGGTGGAACAGAAAATGAAGTTGGTCCGCAGAAACAGAAACACTCGCGGCAACAGCATCGGGAACAAGAAAGAAAGGTGGGCTATGGGGGGTCGAAGTCTGGGATACCCTGGAATCGAACAGGAAAAAACGGGAGTCTTTCAAAGTCCTTTATTGGAGGAGTTACGAGCTGTTGCTCAAACTAATTTTTATGTATTCTGTTAGGCATAAATTTTGTAATAATCAATATTATTTATGTGTATTTATATTTATATTTATTGAATATTATATTAAATTTATATTATATTAATATTAATTAACTATTATATAAAATATTATATTATTATTTAAAATTCAATTATTTAGATAATTATTTTTATTTATTTATTTTTAATTTTTTGTACTTTTTTTAGTTTATTTTTTTAAATTTTTTAGTTTATTTTTTTTTTAATTTTTTATTTTTTTATTGCCATTTTTTATTTTATTGTTATTTTTTTAAATTTTTTGTTATTTTTTATTGTATTTATTAATTTTTTTTTTATTTATTTTTAAATAAATTTTTTTTTTTAATTGGTGGATATCTCTCTATTAAATAAAAAAGGCTTATTCTGTCCTCATGGCCCGATATTGTACTCTTAACGGCGCTTCCGCAGCAAGTGGAAGGAGAAAAGCGAGTGAGCCGGGGGTAGGCTGTATATATTTCTGTATATTTCTTTGATCATCAGATTTTTAATTGATTTTTAATTTATTAATTTCCTATGACTTTAGTTTGATACAAAATATAGCTCGTATATCTCTTGAATTTCCTGAAGGAGAATCAGCATTAGCTTCAGAGTTTAATGAAGAATATAGAAGAGGTGGCTTTTCTTTATTTTTTATAATTTTTTGTGTAAAAATTGCATGCAAAAACATGGCCCTATCGACTCTGTTTGGTCCGAGATGCTTTCTCCTTCTCTTCCAGGGTATCAAAACTACGTAAGTTTTGTTGGTTGCTGGTGTGTGTCGCCTCGCACAGTCGCTTGTTATGTTCGATGCTTGTTGTTGGGTCAACAGCCACACAGATTGTGGCTCTTGTCTGTTTTGCCTTTTGGCTTTTGCTGTTTCTGGCCGGTGTTTTGGCAGCAATTAATCGGCATTAAAATTTATAACGCTGCCATAATTAATGGTCTGCTAATATGCCATAAAATTAGTTACTTAGCAGCCGAGCAGCGTGTTCAATTAAGGATTTGCTTGTCCACCAGAGTCGCTCTTCCACGATGGCATAAATCAAAATGCCTATCACGCAGCCCAGAAACTCCAAGACCCCCTATCCAAGCTCCTATCCTCTATCCTCTATCCTCTATCCTAATTGCCAGTGAAATTCGCCTTGATTGCCGCCGCGTAATTGTATAACTTGTGCGACCCTCTAACCCCAAGACACACACACAGAATCCCCATCTCATCCCCATCTTGTTCCAAGACACACACAATCGCACCTTATCCTCTGGGGGAGAGTGAGAGGGAGAGAGAGGGAGGCAAAGGCAGCAGGAAGCGTCATAATTTGCCATATTGTTGTTGAACTGATTTGCCCAGAGAAAAGACCATCGAATGAAGTAGATCCAAAGGTAGGAGACTAAAAGATACCCTGGGGCAGCAGTTTCTACTGCAAATCTGTCTTTTGAATCATCCAAATCGGTTCAGATATGTCTCAAATGGAGCTGCTAGACTGTGCTCATAATTTGTAGAGCTCATATCTTGATCCGACATCCAATTATGGCAACAACAAAGGCTAATAGCACACATTTCTTCGAGCATTTACATAAATTAGCATTCAAATTGATGGGAAAAATGTAAATGGTGGCCTGGAACATATGTTTATGGGGTGTTAATCAGCTGCTAATCAACCTCTGGTCACATACCCAACACAGGCACCTAAATGCCTCACTCTCCTTCTCCTGTAGGGTATCCCAACAAATCCCTAAGGCGGCCGCTTTTTTTTTTCTGCTGCTGCTTTCAAATGTCTTGCATTGAGAAATATGATTCGAGATTTTGCTTGGGGGCCACTCAAAAGTCAATAAGGAATGCCCTGCCTCTCTCGGGAGGAAGTCAGGAGCAACTGGTTTCGGGCTCCTTTGTTCGGTTGCTATTCATTGTATGTCGATAGAGGGGGGGCGGGGGGAGGGGAGGGGCCATCTGCCCATCTTTTCAGCCCATCTCCAATGACCTTTTGGCTTGGCGAAAATTGCAAAGAAAATGCGAAAAGTCTTTGAGGCGGCAGGCGAATCATATTGTTGCAAATGCCGTCATCATCTCTCTCCCTCCCTATCTCCCTCTCCCTCCCCCTCTCTCTCCCCTTGCCCATAATTTGCTGCTTTGGCTTTTTGAATTTTATGCTTAGAGCCAATATGATTTATGGCTAATGCTAATGGCTAAATGTCAAGTGTCCGAGTGTCTTCTTGGATCCCGACTTTCGAAATGGCAACATCTACAAGTAATTGAGTTTTAGTGTTATCAGAGCCATTGAAAGGTCTGACAGGCGAACAATAAATACTCGCGAGTGCGGAAATAGTAAAAAGAAAAGGTAATAAAGAGGTTTTAGGCAGTTATGGAGGTGCCAAAAGCCACCTACGTCCTAGTCCTGGTCTTTGGATACAGCCGGAGACTTAGTACAGCCCCTAAATGCAGATATTTCTAGCCTTCAAGCAATACTCTACCACTTTTCATTCCTCCAAGCCGTGGCCTCAAAAGCTACAACCTGCTTAAATGGGTTGCTGGGTGGAGCACGAGGAGGAGGTGGAGGAGGGGCACAGGGCACACACATGCCAGCCCCTTTATACTGTTGGGGTTTCCAGAGCCCCCCCCCCCCAATAGGTGCCAGCCAATTATTTTTATTTATACTCGTATTTGCAGACAACAACCTCAAGGCTGGGCCTCTGTCTCTCCGTCTCTCTGTCTGTCCGTGGCGAGCATGTGTTTGAGTTCTACCGAGTATCTAATGGTTTTTGATAAATTTGTTTATTTTGAACCCCGAAAATAAACCAAGAGGGAGAGGCAGCCACTGGGTGGTGGCTCCCCTTCATATTTTGTATGTGACTGCATTTTGATTAAGTAGAAAATTTAATTTGTTAACATTTGAACCTCCATTCGAGACGGAAAATTCTCGAGTCGCATAAATCAAAACCGCATTGACAGGCGGGTATATTTTTCTGGATTTTTTTTGTGGAGTGATAAAGTCTGAAGGCAGTTTATCAAAATACTTGTCAGTTAGTTGCGAGTGTATCTGAGCGACTGCGAGGCGGTGCCTTGGGGTATCTGTGTTGCAATTAAGAGAAATTGCCGGCCAACAGACATAAATAGAAATTAAAAGCGCAATGCGAATGATATTACACCATTAAATGCGCCATTTAAGTGCAAGACACGGCGACGACAAGCAACACGATGCGATTTAATTACAGCAAATTGCAGAGATGTTTTCTTTTGCTTTGATGGGGAGGGTGGGGAGCCAGCTATGTGTTAATCCAATTTGTGTGCCATTAGATGGCCCGTTGACCCACATAGAGCTCCAAGGAGGAGGAGGAGGAGTAGCGATGCACTCACTAGGTAATTGCTGTGGACGCACACCGCATTGGCAATGTCAAGGTAACCAGTTTTGATTACAGTCCCCAGATCTTCCATCACCATCTGCGTCATGACATAATTGGCAATGACTTTGTGACTGATTCGAGTGCAGGGCAGAGGCAGAGACAGGGGCAGAGGCAGAGGCAGGGCAGAGGCAGAGTCAGAGGCAGAGTCAGAGGCACAGGCACAGACAGAGGCAGTACCACATTTCACTGCAGGATATCCGTCTCAGAGAATT